TCGTACTGCGTAAAAATACCAATTGAGTCTCGCGCTCAGACCTCTCAAATGCAAAGCGAGCTTCGCGCTCTGCTTTGTCAAGCGCATACCTTGCTTGTTCTAACTCAAGCTTTCGTTGTTCAAGTGCCAGCTCTTCTTTTTTCATGGCAACCTCTTCAGCCTTAATCCGATTTGACTCTTCCATCATGGCAGTGAAGGTTGAATCAACAGAAGCAGCATCCTTTAAATGTCCAATGCGCTGAAACTTTTTGTTCTCGGGCTCCTTGCTCGATGGGCTCCAACTCGAAGCCAAAGAAGCACCTTCTTCCTCGTTTTTGCGCTTCATGGCCATCAATGCTGCCTCTCGAATCAACTGTTCATCGCTTTCTCTCTTGTCTTGTACTGACTTCGCAGTCTTCTTCTTCAGTCGAGCCAAATCCATCTACATAGCCGTCAAACACTTTTTGGTGGTCTAGAGTACCATATCCGAGATATCTTGTAGCAGTTGGTCCCGCTCTTGGTACTCCTCTTCCGTTCCCGATGCACGCAAAGCCTTTAGAGTGGCTTTCTTGAACGCTGAAAGCAAATCGTCGACTCGTTTTCTGCAGCTGGCTGTGGTCAAGGTGTCGCCGTGGCTCACTCGCTTGTGCTCGCAAAACTCTTCCCATCGAGCGCCAGTTTGACCGCTGGCTGCCTCGAAAGGGGCAATAATCACAACCTCCTTGAGGAGGTCAATGTCTGCTACCACAGAGAATCGAAACGCCGTCTTCTTGCGCCTTATGGCTTCGTCCTGCTCGCTCATATGACTCTCAATGGTCGACGATTGTGGAAACATTTTCCCTGTGGAACATTCTCACAAGGAAATTCTAGAGTCGAAATTTCGACTTTGCGCGTGTCTCCGCACCTTACGGGCAAATGTCCAAATTTCGACATTTGCAAAATCACTCTAATGTCTTGAAGTAACTTCATTTTTATTCGAGGAGGAGTACGTCATTTTTCTGAGTCACGCAATTGTTTTGTGGGACAGAGGGAGAAAACTTCATCTATTGAACTCGAAAACGAAAGTTTTGCGTCGATTCGAAAGATTTGTAAGATGTCCCAGCTCCACATCGTCCCGCCCCTTTGATTCAGGAGCAGCAGAGCGTCAAGAGAAGTGTTGATATTATTGTTCACATTTTTCAGGGGAGAAACGATTTCGAGTAGTACCACCTCATGCTCGCATAATTTTTTGCTGCAAGGGGAAACAGTTCTCCGCGGGTGTAGTCTACAGTCTGATGCAAAATGTTAAGATATCATTTCAATTTGATCTATCTCATCAACTATGAAGAGTAATTTCTATCTGAAAGTAGTGTTGGATTCAACTTGAAATGCACTAAAAAACAAGTGTTATTGCACAAATCGGAAAGGAAAATTCAAAATAAATGTACAAAACTGTTTCAAAACTTGTGCAAATTGTTAGAAACATTCTGCAAAACTTCTCACCCAGAAGAATTCAAATGAAGTACCTTCCTCAAAGCAAGTCTGTTGACCTCAGTTTCCATTCCGTAGCCTTGACGATACGTTGCAACCATGATATGGGCCATGCCGCACAGCTGACAGAGCTCGAGCAAGGCAAGATCGAATTGTGCGTCGAATTCGGCCTTAGCGTAGCCGAGACAGCTAACTTCATCAATCGAAGCGTAGTAGTCTCGAACTACCTCCGGGACCCAACAACCTACGGCAAGCGATTCTCTGGTGGCCGCCTACCAAGCTCAGTGACCGTGACATTTACCACATATTCTCCTTGCTGTCGAGGGCACCCTAAA